TCTTCTCTGTTGTTGCCTTCATCAGCCGTTGCTGGGCTCTTGTAGTCACTTCATAGCCTCTGTTTGAAGTGCACTCGTGAGCCTGCCCTCACCCATCCCTACAGGAGAACATCTAACCTTTCCCCAGGCCTTATAAAGCTCATTCTGACCTGGCCTCTCCCTACCCTTCCAGTTTTGCCTCATGCTGCTCCCTTTGTTGTTCTTCAGGCTGCAGTATTACCTGTTTGCCTTTGGTCCCTAAGCATGGCGGCTACTTATTTCTGTGTCTTCACTCTTGTTGCTCATGCTGTGCTTGGTCCTGAAATCCTCCCATCTCAGTCCTCCCAGCTCCAGCTCTCTAGTGAACGCCTCGTCCCTGCAGACGTAGGTTAGGGGCCACGTTCAAGGAGCCTCTTCTGGTGATCCTTGCCTATGCTTTGCGTCACCTTTTAACTGCCCCTCCAAGCTGTGGAAGATCCTTGTTTTGTGTCCACTGTGCCCTGCATGTATTTCTGCCACGTAGTCTGTGTTTTTGTGTAACTGTCTTAGGGTCGTCTGCCAGTGTGTGAGTCCATCAGGACAGGTACTGAGTCTGATTCACTTCTGCCCCCACTTTTTATTGTCAATCTGGTGAAGGTTTACAGAGCAGAGCGTTGGTTGAAACATTTTCCTTCAGCTCAGCCGTCGCTCAGTATGCCTTCATGGGATCCTGCAGTATGCCTTCATGGGATCTCAGTATGCCTTCATGGGATCCTGCAGTATGCCTTCATGGGATCTCAGGATGCCTTCATGGGATCCCAGTATGCCTTCATGGGATCTCAGGATGCCCTCAAGGGATCTCAGTATGCCCTCATGGGATCCCAGTATGCCTTCATGGGATCCCAGTATGCCTTCATGGGATCTCAGTATGCCTTCATGGGATCCCAGTATGCCTTCATGGGATCCCAGTATGCCTTCATGGGATCTCAGTATGCCATCATGGGATCTCAGTATGCCTTCATGGGATCCCAGTATGCCTTCATGGGATCCCAGTATGCCTTCATGGGATCTCAGTATGCCACCATGAGATCTCAGGACACCTTCATGGGATCTCAGGGCGCCATCGTGGGATCTCAGGGCGCCATCATGGGATCTCAGGGCGCCATCATGGGATCTCAGGATGCCATCATGGGATCTCAGGATGCCATCATGGGATCTCAGTATGCCTTCATGGGATCTCAGTATCCCATCATGGGATCTCAGGATGCCTTCATGGGATCTCAGGATGCCTTGGGATCTTACATGGTTCCAAACCTGAAGGGTGGTGAAGGGCCATGGTCTTCAAAGTTCTACCAGGTTCTTCCTAACCAATAATCAGTCTTTTTTTGTTTTTTTTAAATCATTTTATTAGAGGCTCCTACAACTCTTACCACAATCCATACATACATCCATTGTTCATTTGTAGTTGTACATCATCATTTTCAAAACATTTTCTTTCTACTTGTTTGAGCCCTTGGTATCAGCTCATCCCCCCCCCTTCCCTCTCCCTC